TTGTGTCAGGAAGATGAACATCATGAAATGCCAGTTTAATAGAACATAGTGTTCTTGCATTGAGGGAGTGCTTGAGTGGAGGCCCAATGTCCATCTGCTATCTTAATACTAAACCTATAAGTATATGCACATAGATCTATTTCCCCATCCTCATATATAAATATATTTACATATGTACATGCCTTTATTTAGACCTCTATAAATGCCCTTTGCCTCCTAGTTCTTTCCTCTATTTCCTTTTACTTTTCTCTTGTCCCACTATCATGCTCAGCCTTCATTTGGGTTTCAGTAATTCCTCTCGGTTACATTGCCCTTAATCAAACCCTAATAGGCCTCCTACACCATCCTCACCACTGATTTTGGATCACTTGTTGTTCCTTTATCCCTGGGTTTATTAACACCACTTCCTTTCCCTCCACTTCCCTGTCTCCCATGTCCCCCCAGAACCATCGGTCCCGTTTTTTTTCTCCTCCAGATTGTTTATCCTGCCTATCTTATCTAGATAGACCTGCGGAAATAATAAAATGCACAAAAACAAGACAGAGCAAAACAAAGCACAAAAGAAAACAAAACAACAAAAAACTAATGACAGAAAAAAGAAAAGCCTGTAGATAGTTCAAGGACTGTTTGTTGGCCTTTAGGAGTGTTTTACTGTGGAGTATGATGGGGTGCTGCCATGCCCTGGTCCAAACATATATTTTTGGTACTCCCTGGGGACTTCGTTGCTCTGCTCCCCTTGCTGTTCTGTTGCACACCCTTAGTGTTTTGCCTCGGTGTGGTAGAGTCAGATCAGCTGCAGTTCCCACACTGTGTCTCCAGTGTTGTCCCTTGTAGGGTTATGGGTCAGTGAGTCTCATAGTGGGCCGGTCATATGGTCCTCTCTGTGCATTGGCTGCTCTGAGCAGGGATATCATCCTCAAGGCTGGGTGGGCCAGGATGTGCTCCACTCTCTCTTCCTCCCACTTCATTTGCTCCAGTGTGCTCTGATTAGACATGTCCCTCTCCCTGAGCTGTAGCTTCATGCTGTCCTCTGAAGTCCATTCTTCTGGGGGGAGGGGCAGCTGTCTTTCTATATGCTTTCCATTTCATTTTTTACAACTGTCAGTTTTCTAGATTCATACATTGTAGATTTCCAGTTCTGATTGTTAGTTGGGGTTTGCTTCTGTGTCTTCTCATTTGGAGTTGCGTCCCATCAGCGAATGACATTCCCGACGGCTTTCCTCCCAAAGGCTCTCCTCCATCCACGTCATCGTAGTCAGCTCTACTTTGGGACGGCAGCTCTTGCTCAGTCATCATTTGAGTGGCTTCTCACCTGAAGGCCTCATCTTCTGCACTGTCTCTGACAATGCTCTGCTTCTATTCATGCGTTTTCAGTATCTGGCAATGGTTTGATACTGTCCATAACATTTTCTAGCGCTGATCCCTCCGAAGTGAACATCCTAGCCCTTCTGCGTCGTCTGGATTTATTTAGTCTGGAAGTTCTGCTGAAAACTGTTCACTTTGAGTGATCCTGTTCGTATTTGAAATAACAGTGGCCTAACTTCCAGCGACACACGAGCCATCACAGGATGACGACAAACTGACGAGTGGTAGACACTAGATATTACTCACCGCCCGTGAGTCGATGCCAACTCATAGCAACGCTGTGGGACAGGTGGAACTGCCCTGTGCGTTTCCAAGGCTGTCACTGTACGGGAGTAGAAAGCCCCTTCTCTCTGCTGTGGCGAATGTTTCAAACCGCAACCCAGCTCATAACCATAATGCTACATACAGGCACCGTTAATAATGTCGTATTTCCAAGGAATCTGTTTAGGGTGTTCTCATAGATGTCACCGTAGGGGATTGAGCAGATAGAGATCATCGCCACCAGCTCAGTTGCACTGAGACTCGGAGAGCTTACGGTGACTTCTCTATGTCACAAAGGTCATTCGGTAGACAAAGAAGGAGGAAAATCCAGGTGTTTAATTTGAAGTTATATTTATAACGATTAGGCTTTATTATGTCCCCAAAGGGCAGCTCAACTTAATTGGGCATATTTATTGAGTCCACCTGGAAGACTCTAAGGGGAAGGATGGAGCTTAGCTTCACATGGATTTCACTTCGAGCTGGCAAGGCTGCATGTGCGTCCTCTCACACGCCGGCCGGCACACAACGAGAACAAAATCTAGATTTCTTATCAGCTCCCCCTCAGCCCCACCGAATAGCTGACAAAATAATAACTGGGAAATAATTATTTTCCCAATGGTGATTTATAGTTTTCATGTTGTCTGGAATCTGTTTGAACAGTTTGTAATCGAATGGAGTTTGAAACTGCATTGAGTCATTCCTTTATAGTGACGGTTACGTAATGAAATGTTACTTTAGAAATAGGCCACTTGCTTCTCCCTGTATAATTGCATTCATCTCTTGAGGGGAGAGTTCGTTTTCCATTTTACCTGGTTGTGTGCGTTTGGAAAGTGCCCTAGCACAAGGCATCAGAAAGTAGAACCGTTTGGCGCTTTTCCCATTTTCCATTCTTTCTCCTGTAAGGATGCCAGATTCCTTTGGGAAATCATCGTTTGCAAAAGGTCAGGAGCAAAAGGAGGGGCATTCTTTAGTGTACAGTTACTGCTAATTGGAAACTAAACATCTGTAACCATGTCAGAGTTATTTGTATTTGAAAAGAAACATTTATATACAAGAGCCCTTTTGGTAACATAAAACATACTCTAACACAAAGTGTATGTATTGGAGGGGGGGGTGTGTGGACAGACTGGGGACGTTTAGGACAAATGACTCTGTGGAGCTGATTTCACTTACAAATGAAATCTCAAAGCATTTTGAAAGAGTCTCCTTTTCTCCGCCCAGCGAAGTTTTCCCATTCCCCTCCCCTAAGCCAAAACAAACACTTTATTATATTGTTCCATTAAGGATTCAACATTTAATCATCTTAAAGGAAAACTAAGTCTGAGAGCAAATGAACGAGCTGTTAGAAATGCCACTGTCCTCTGGGATATCTCTAGCTACCTCCTGTAACCCGAACCCTCGCCGTCTTCCCGTAGAGTGGTGTAAGCTTAGCCCTCTGACATCCTGCACGGAGGGACGTGCTGATGGGCTGAGCGTCTTAGGGGGGAAATGGCATGCCCTCCTTCTTATCCTCACTTGGAAGTTCTGTTTGCATCACTCCATCTGTACAGAAATTGTATCTGTATATTTATTTTCATATTGAGATAAATGCTGGTGATATGGCTACAGTGTTAAAACATTTCAGTTGTTGAACTTAGTCTTTACTATTTCTAAAGGCCAAATACTGATAATGGTCCAGATCTTACCAGAAATTTTTTCATGTCCTAAATGCCACTACCTATAACACTGCTGGATTTTGGGGGGCGAGGGGACAGGCAGCCAAGGGCTCTTTTGGTTATTCTCTTTTTCCCTGTCCAAGTTTACCAAATCTGGCCAAAGATCATACAGTCTTGAAAACTATAGTCAAGAACTTACATAAACTAGAATATACCATATTGAACACCCACCTCAAATGATCCCATACTGATAACTCTCGCTTTTCAAAAGTTTGCTTTACACACTTTTGCGTGTGCAAAAAGAACCTGAAGAGGATATTCGCTGTTAGGGAAAAATGGCAAAACTTAAAACTAGCATTCCGTGTTTGTGTGTTTGTGTTGCAGCCTGCCATTACGGAGGCAGCATGCACCCTGAATGCTGTCACCTCCCTCTTACCCCGGGAACGACAGTCAGTACCCAGCTACCTTAACTGTGCCCTGTATCGGGGAACACTACATATTAGTGGTATTTTAGGTTTCATGTGTTATTTGCTAATGACTCATTAGATTGAAGTTTGGGTCTAAGAACACACAGTAGGTTTCTCAATATATCTTAATGGCAATTGTTTCTTTGTTTCACACCACGTGGGATTACAAAAGCTTGTGTAAACGAGCTCTACTTTGAGATAGCGAGGGAGCCATTTGAACAGAATGCCTGTGGACTCGGGTTCTGAGTGTTTACAACGTCAAGAGGCCCTTGGACAACCTGCCTTTCCAGTTACCTCTGTAGAATCTCAAAATGCCACTTGGCCATGAATTTCTCGTATTTAAGAGCAGGCTATAATCAAACTCTTTGGGTGTGAATCAGCCCAGAGTCAAGGATTCGTTGCCTGGTTCTTTACAATAAGTCCAAACCATGTAGTCTTCTCTTTGTGGCATTGCTCAGGCTGGCTCTACCCATTGGGCTGTCACTGTTGTTCATGAGCCTGTACTTCAACCAGACTCATCTCCCTATTTCCTTTCAAACATACCGTGAACATGTCTTCCCTTGGATATCTTGCTGGCTGAAATCGTGGTTGGAAGAACTTTCTGGCTTCCATTGGCCCACTTGGATCTCGCTTACTTGCTAGCCTTCTGAATATCACAACCTACAGTCTCTTCCTTCTCTGGGATCCTGTCTCTATGATGTCAAGATTCATTTAGCACTGCACTACACACACACACACACACACACACACACACACACACACACACGATTTCCGTGTGCCTTTAGTCATCTCTTCATTTGCATCTCTCCCCTTTTGAGCCGTGGTAAAAGGCCCTCAGCAAAATTGGTGACAATAGACTTTTCATGACGCTTACCCGGATGTGGGTCTCTCTCCTTCCTAGGCAGTGCCTGGCGGGTTCCAACCACCGAGCAAATGCTGTAACCTAGGCACCACCGGTGGTTAATTTTAGTGTCCAATAAATAGTTATTTGATCATTGAGGTGTAAGTCATTTTTGCTATTACCTTTTTAATTGTCTTAGTCCAAAAGCCTATTAATGTTAATCCCTGTGATAAGAATTATAGATATTGCTGTTTAGATGTATATAACAGCAGCCAAGATACCTGTCGAATGAACAAAAGTACAACAAACGTCATCTGGAATAAGGAGCAGACTACATAGAGCATCAGCACATGCAAAAGCACACATGTAACGATGAGTTTTAAATGGTCCTATGTTTTTGTTTCTTCCCAGGTGTGGTCGCTCACCTGTCTATCGGTCCCGTGAAATGGCAGCTCGTGCCTTGGTTCCATTTGTTATGATAGACCAAATCCCAAGAACCATCCGGACTCTGTTAGCCACACTCCCTGAGCGCACTGACCAGTGTTTCCGGCAAAACCATATTCACGGAGTGCTTCTCCAGGTAAGTAATTTAGCAGATAAGGAACTCTGAGGGCTTTTGTAGACAATTGACAGTCGGAGCGTGGCCCAGGGACTTCTGTCTCTGTAGCAGTATTGCCCAGGTACGTACGCTCTCTCTTCTTCACAGTCATAGTGCTATGCTGTGATTCTGACAGGTCCTCTTTTGCATTAAACCCAATATTTTCAATAGTGTATTTTCTTTTTTTAATACTTCCCCCTCCCAACCAGATACAGTTATTTTTTTTCCTTTTCCATTAAATATGCCTGAAGGTTATTGTGAGTCCCTCCTTGTTCAGGGAAAAGGTGTGGACATTCCATGGGAGAGAAGTTGACCCTGAAACACATCTCTTGCACATCCAGGGAGGGCTTACTCCACAGCTCCAAACCATAGCCCATCTGATGGAAATACCAAACCTGACTGCTGTTCTTCTCTGAGCTACAGAAGATACATTTTATTAATTTTGTTGTTGTTTTTCTTGAGACTACGCAGTCAAAGCATACATCAACTCAACAGTGTGCACATGCCAGTGCGTGCCTGTGACTCCATTCCTCCCAGTGAGCAGCCTCTCTCGCCCTCTCTGTCTCGGCTGATCCCCCTCGTGCACATAGACAGCTTTCTGTCTACTCTCGCGAATTGCTGTGCTTAATTTGATCTCTTGTAGGTAGTGCAGAAGATGCTTTTTATTTTGAATAAATAGACATGTTCATTATTTTCATTTCACATTTCTTCTAGAAAAGACTAAAGTACAGCAGTTGAATGAGATAATAGACTGCTTATTGGAGTTGCTCTTTTTAAAGCCTAACTAAACTTGATGACCGGTGGGACCGGTGAGATCTGTTTTGGGTGCGGCTACTTGAACTGCTCAACCCTAGGGTAGGGCTGGGGGTGGGATTTAATTGTCAGGCTAGGTGCCTGATACTGAGCAGAGTTGAGAGATGACCTTGACGAGCCGGAGGTTCATGCTGCTGACACAGGAGGCGGTGTAGAGAGGGTTGATTGGCACAGGACTTTGGAATCTGATTGCCTGTGTGTGGTTTTTAGATCCACCGTCTCACAACCTGCACATCCATATCGTCATTGTTCAGATGGCTCATGGGTGTATGATGATGGGTAAATGAATTCATTCACAGAAATGACAACCGTGAGTGACACGAGCCCTCGTGGCATAGTGGGTTACACTTTGAGTGGCTAACCTCAAGGTTAGTAGTTTGAAACCACCAGCTGCTCTTTGAGAAAGATGCATCTTTCTACTCCTATAAAGAGTTACAGTCTTGGAAACCCACAGGGGCAGTTCTGCCCTGTCCCATGGGGTCTCTATGATTCGGCATCAACTCGATGGCAGTGAGTCTTACTGTTACGTTTCAGTATCATAATTATAACAAACCTTTATTTTAATGAATCTTTCTAGTAGCTTCCCTTGGGGGGTTGGGGGGAAGATGACTACAAGATAGATCTGTCTTCTTGCCTTCATCCTTTGCTTGCTTTCTATGTTCAACAAGAATTAATTGAGTGCCGAGCATGTACAGCTGCGTCACAGACAAACCAGTGATTGAACCAACCCTTGCCATGAAGACGCCAAAAGATGAGTAGGTGAAAAACGAATAGGAGATGGGCTCTCTCAACATAGTGTGCGATACACTGGTAGAATGCATAGGAGGGGCTCTTGAACTATCTTGGGGAAGTCAGGGAAAGCTTTCCAAAGAAATGGACATTAAAGCAGAGAAAAGAAGCTCAGGGCTCAGTGTGAATTAAGGCATGCTTTCTGGGAATTGCCAAGTATGGGTTGGACTGAAGGTCTAAATTGGCAGTTCTCAGTCTGATCGCAGCGCGTCTCTGTACGCTCTTAAAATTGTATCGGGAACTCTTAAGAAGCTGTCAACATTTAATTATAAATTAAAATAGAGGAAATTTAAAAGAGTAAGCTTCAGAACCACATATTCCACGTCATCAATGATGACATCATCACATATCAGGTAGTCTTTGGAGACTACCACTGTACACTCATGAGAGAGTGGGTGTGCAAGAAGAAGCTGAAGTCTTAGGATGGTTTTGGAAATAGTTGATCAGGGGGCCTTCCTGAGAGGATTGTGTGGTCGCAGGCTATACTTTAAGATCATCTGGTCTGCGTGATGCTATCCGGGTCTGGGATGACTTTCGCACTATAAATTCTTCTATCGCCCTTGGAGTGCTCACCTCTCTTGAATCCCCACTAGTTCCTGTGACGGCAGGGGTTTCCTTGGTTGAAAGACAGACCACTAAGACACGAAGGTCCCTGTGTACTCAGCTGTCCTCATCCTGTGTTGTGTCCTCTGAAGGGACGGGGTCAGTACAAGTGAGCGCCGCAGAGCAGGCTGTTCCCGGTGGGAGCCGCAGACGATCGCCCAGTGAGAAGGAAGGTGTGGACTGGCCAGGACGTCAGCCATCAGAGTTTCTCTGTTGGCGAGCCACTCAGGGGGCGTGTAGTTGGGTTGCTTATTTGGTTCTTTTCCCAGTTGTACACCTCCGAGATAACGTAACTGCGAGAAAGCCTCTATTGCACTAAAGGGAGTCATGTGAATTTTTTCTCATGTCCCATTGCACACCACAGTCTACTAAGTGTGCAACAACATTGTGAAGAGGTTGGAAGTATTGTGTGAACAACCCCCAGAGACACAAAGTGACCACGTGCTGTTGGAAAAATGGCGCGGATGGCCTCACGTGGCACCGGGGGGTGGCCACAAACCTTCAGTTTGTAAAAAACATCACGCCTGCCAAGTGCACGAAAGCAAAGCTCGATAAAATGAGGTGGGCCTGCTCACGGAGCGCCCCGCCTTGTGTCACCCACCACCCCACTCGAAGGTGTGCCTGGCGGCCCAGCAACAGAACAGGCTTTGGATCTCCCTCCGGCTGGCTGCCTGCTTCTGCCGGACAGCGTGCAGGACGTGGTTGCCCAGGGAAGGGGCAGATCCTCCGACTGCGGAAGAAGGGCTGTGGCTGTTCTTGTTCTGAGGTCTTTGTGAGAAGAAGGGGGTGCTGCTACTGTGCTTGTGTTTGTCAAACAGACCGCTCTTGGAGGTGGCTTTGCCCTGGTTGGAAACAACACGACGTTAAAGGCCTGTAACAAGGCTTTTTGTCTGTTCCTCTGGGTCGCCTCTGTGCGGTCACTCTTCTGTCTCCCGTATTCTTCGTGGGGTAGCTTCCGATGGGGAGCGCTTGTTTTTCTCTCCTGCCTACAGTTTATAGATGCCTCCTCCGCAGAAAGGTACCTTTGAAATCATTCAAAGGTCTGCACCTGGCAAAGAGATCTCGGGGTATTGAAAGGAATGATAATCTCCAAGGGACCTTAAGGAACCAGCTAAGTAAATATGAAATTGTTGTTGTTTTTTTCCCCCAAAGCAGGAAATCATTTGTAATCAGAAAACAGATTCTTTCACAGAACATTTTCTTGAATTATACATTTTGACTTCTTTGAAAAATGTTTCCATAAATATATCAGGCCCCAGACTATTTCTATAGCATGACCTTAAACGCCAGAAATCTGCTGATCTCTGAATTTTCTGGGCTGTGGATGAAAGGCTCAGATGATAGGCCAGGGAGAGAAAGAAGGAACATGTGGGATTCATTTCTTAATCGTTTTAAAAACCAGAGGTTCCTAATTGCAATGTTGAAATGGATGGAAGTCACACACATTAGAAAAGGTGAGATGATGCAGCAGGTTCCTAAAAGCCAATGGTAAATGACATTAAATCTCAATAACGGCGAGATAAGAGCCACGGACATTACCTCATTTGAGAACAACACTGGCAGGGATGACCCTGCCTTTTTAGTAGAATTAACTGTCTGTTTTTGTGGCCAAAACTCTCCATGTTGCGGACTTAACATTATTAGTAGGTTTCCTATCACCCCAGGGGAATCATATTGGAGCTCACAGACATCTCTCATGTTGAGGAGGAGTTAGAACAGCAACCATGAGAAAGGTTCTGATCCCTGGATACAGGACTCACATTTTGGGGCGTTTCATATACCAGTATCAAGTAAAAATTTAAATGCTGGGTTTCTTGTTTCCTGGTTACTTGGGTTTTATTTCTAATAGTATAAATACATAAAAGGTGATCCCTGGTTTTCTTTAGTTAAATTCTCTTGAATGGCTGAACTATTTTATTATACAGTTGAGATAGATACTAAAAACTGCCTTGTCGTTTTCTGAATATTCTAGGTGAAGGTTTATTGTTTGCCTTCATCTCACCTCAACAGCCCCCACCTCCTTTTGCAGGTGTAAACATCATCTACATGTCTCATCGAATGTGAACATCACAACTGGAGTTTTCACCAGCACACTTGTTGGCCTCTTAATGTAACTCCCTCCTCCCCCTCCTCCCTGGCCCACCCTTTAAAGTACTGGTGTCTGAACTTTTGAGAATTCGAGTCCCAAAAGGGAACGCTTTCTGCTTGTGATCCAAGCAGCGGTCTGCGTACTGGAGTCGACAGCAAGTATTAGCCAGGGAGGGACTTCATATGGACCCGCCGAGGTGCTGAAAGTGAGCCAGAGAGGAGTGCATTAACATTTGGGGGGCAAGCGCTTCCTGTGCTTCCCGTGAATTACATGGGTGAATTACATGAATCATTCGCACCACTCTGTAAGGTACGTGTGCTTTGCTCCTCCCACCACCCTATTTTTTATTTTTGCTTTTAGTATTTTAATTGATGTAATTTAAGTCACCCCCTGAGAAATTGAGGTAAACTCGCGAGGGTGACTTGTGTAAAGTCAGTCAGTGGTGGAGATAAGGTAGCTCCTAGAGCAGCGGTTCTCAACCTGTGGGTCGCGACCCCTTTGGGGGTCGAACGACCATTTCATAGGGGTTACCCAATTCATCACAGTAGCAAAATAACAGTGATGAAGTAGCAACAAGAATAAATTTATGGTTGGGGGTCACCACACATGAGGAAGTGTACAAAAGGGCGGTGGCGTCAGGAAGGTTGAGAACCACTGTCCTAGAGTCTCTGCTCTTCTTGCTTCAGCA